TTTTATACGCTTGGGGCAGTTCTTATAATTTTTAAACGTTCTTCAAGCGGCACTTAGGGCATGAACTGTCTTCTAGATACAGATAATATTGGTTTGTAAGCAGCACGTAGGGCAACTCGATCGGGCAGGGAAGCGGATTTTTGTACGCTTGGGGCAGTTCTTATAATTTTTAAACGTTCTTCAAGCGGCACTTAGGGCATAAACTTTCATTTTAAATAGTTACTATCGGTCTGTAAGCGGTACGTAGGCCAACTCGATCGTGCAGGGAAACAGATTTCTATACGCTTGGGGTAGTTCTTATAACTTTTAAACGGTCTTTAAGCGGCGCTTAGGGCATAAATTTTCATTTTAAATAGTTACTAACGGTTTGTAAGCGGCACGTAGGGCAACTCGATCGGGCAGGGAAACAGATTTTTATACGCTTGGGGCAGTTCTTATAATTTTTGAACGGTCTTCAAGCGGCACTTAGGGCATAAACTTTCACTTTAAATAGTTAGCGACTCGATCGTGCAGGGAAACAGATTTTCATAAGCTTGGGGCATTCTTGTAATTTTTAAATGGTCTTCAAGCGGCACTTAGGGCATGAACTGTTTTTTCGATATCTTTCTTATATATAAACTGGAAACATCCATCGAGGCGACGAAAACCATACATTGTTCTTCCACCCTGACGCCCCCCTTCAGCGTTGCGGAGGGAGAGTTGTTGACAGTGTGAGCACGCGAGAAATCACGCTCTCTCGCAGAGGTTAAAGGCAGTGTCTCACCAAAGTTAAGGTCGCGCGGATCTTCACATAGTCTATCATAGAGACCCCCAAATAGGCCATTGCAACAAGTCCCACTCAATTTGACCCCCTCCACGGTGAGAAAAATTCGCTCAAAGTGGTACGCGGAGAGCGAATTAGTGCGCGCGGACGACTCCTTCGGTCTCCCCCCTTACGCGTTTGAACATGTCCCTCCACTTGGCCATCCACCCTCCCCTCTGTTGCTGCCACTGTGGCTGAGGCTGAAGTTGGAAGGTACAACTCGTCCACGTTGCTTCCGGGGGGCCTCCAGAAAACAGGGTTTTTGGGAACGTCGTGCGATTTTGAGCCCGTACAGTGCTAGACACTGTCCGACAGGCTTGCAAAATGCAAAAATCTCGGCAACTAAATTTTGGTGAGATACTGCCTTTAAGGACGATGAGAATTCTAGAGAATCTTTCTTATATATAAACTGGAAACATCCGGCGAGACGACGAAAACCATACATTGTTCTTCCACCCTGACGCCCACCTTCAGCGTTGCGGAGGGAGAGTTGTTGACAGTGTGAGCACGCGAGAAGTCACCCTCTCTCGCAGAGGTTAAGGACGACGAGAATTCTAGAGAAACGGTGTACTCCCATCCGCAGGCAAGCTAGAGAGGAGAGAGTTGTCTCGACATTTGTCAATTGATCGCACCCTATAGGCATGCGATGACGGCAGGTGTTTTGACTTTGCTTGCGATGACGAATTGTGATGAAATACCGTATATTCGGTTTGATCACGGCCCTCACAGCTGTAGCATACCTACTGCTTACATACACAGTTCCACTTCTTTTCACGTCCTTAGCTACATTCCTCCTTCATTCTAAAGACTCCCTTGCCCCCCCCCCCCTCTCCCATTTTGCATAACAGTTTGGTAGGAAATCTGAGCATTGTAATTCTTCATAGAATAGTCGTCAGAGCTCAACATTTTGTGAAATGGTGACGAAAATCCCAATCCGAAGAGCAATTGAACAGCAAAGATTGGGTTTTTGGCACGTTCTTTCTCTGCGGCTGACCAGTTTTTAGAGCGAAAATTTTTGTTTTTTCCCATAATTTCCACCAAAAACGGTAAAAACCTCGATTTCTACAAAATTTCAGCCACAGAAAATGCATTTGCTCCCGGAGTGAAGACCCACCATGGAAGCTGTGGTCTCGCTGGTTGAGCTCCGGCAAACTTTCTCTGTGGCTGACCTATTTTTAGAGCGAAAATTTTTGTTTTTACCCACAATTTCCACCAAAGGCGGTAAAAACCTCGATTTCGACACAATTTTAGCCAGAAAATGCCTTTGCTCCCGAGTGAAGACCAGCATGGAAGCTGTGGTCTCGCTGGTTGAGCTCCGGCAAGCCCTTTTGTGGCTGACCCTGTTTTTAGAGCGAAAATTTTTGTTTTTCTCACAAGTTCCACAAAAACCTCGATTTCGACAGAACTTCAGCCGCAGAAATTCTGCCGAAATCGAAAACACCAGCCTTCCTTTGCTCCCGGAGGAAAGACCCACCATGCATCTGCATTGGTCAGCATTTTAGGAAAGCGATTATGTTGATTTTAAGTGAGCAACGAAAGAAGCAAGTGTATCAAGTAAGTGAAATCTGGTGGTGGCATTTGGAGGGAAAGATCAGGTATTTTTTTGTGTCTACCTGCAAAGTCTGATTTTTGATTTATTTAGCTTCTCCAGAGAGGAGATGTGAACACCGTTTATAGTTAGATGCAGTCCCAACTAAGCAAATACTAATGTATCTGCCCCGACCCACTTACAGCGGCCCGTAGGGCCGCTAGTGTTAATATTGAATGAAAGCACAAAAAGATGTTAACTAACTTTTTTTGTTCTACTGATCTTTCTTACTCAGAGTTGTTTTTTACCTCATAAGGAAGATATCAGCCACATTTTTCGAAGAACGGCATAACTGACATCCACGAATCTGCATAGTTACAACAACTGTTATGGTGCAAGGAGTAGCTAAGTTTGTTTCGTAGATGTTTTTGCCATACACACAAGTAGATCTGTGCCTTTTTTCGAACTCCTACTTTCAAACGGGATTTTCACCAGTGACAAGGCGCATATTCGCAGGAAGCACTCAAGTCTTTGTCCATTTGTATTTGTTGTGCGAGGACACCCGAATGCTTAGGGGGAGTACGTTTTCCTCAGACTGGAATATGCAAAGAGATCATTGATAGAGTTCTAATCTGTATGATGTAAACTAATAGGTGATTACCGTGATTATACTTGTTCCCTTCCCATTGATTCTTACCCCACGGGATCAAGGAATAAACGATTTTGAATAATACCGCTTTTTTTTCTCGAATCGTTTGTCTGCCGAGATCGGAATGGGGCAAGATTTTTCTAATTTGAGGAATAAACAAACATAGACAAATATGGACAATAGACAACCAAATACATAAACACGAATGCAAGCAGACGCTCTGCTTCCTATGTGATTCTCTGTAGTCGCAGCAAAATCTGAAAAGTTCTAAGATAGCTTGAGCAAACTTTGGCAAGTGCTTAGGCTCTTTATAATTTGACGCGAAAAATCTCCGTTAAAAAGCTTGTTGCGACTTTTCAGAGACTGCAAAATTGTGACCGGCATCAAGTTTAATCAAGATTTATCTAGCAAAATTCCTTTCAGCTATGAAGAATAGGGGAAGTGTTTCTAATGTATAAGTTTGCTAGTAATAACACCCTACTAATGAAAATCCCTATAACATTCAGCAAAGGGAATGGATTCGCATGTAACCTACTGAGGAATTTGCACCGTGCTTGGGTTCCCCAACCCAGCGTTCAGTGGGTTCCGGAACCCACGAGAACTGGGTAACTTGTTTCGTGAATACCGGTATGCTTGACTTTTGGGTTTGCGAAGCCACTGGGTTCGTTCGTGAATACCGGTTAAGTGGCTTTTTGTGGGTTCCGGAACCCACTAGGTAGGCTCAACCCACTGAGTTCCGGAACCCACTAGGTAGGCTCAACCCACTGAGTTCCGGAACCCACTAGTTTCGTGAATACCGATTTTGTGGGTTGAGCCTACCCAATGGGTTCTGGAGCCACTGGGTTCGTTGATGAATACGGCCACAGGTTCCTTGACAAATACGGTCACTGGAGTTGTACTGAGCTGAACCTATATCAGTATCACGGGGAACAAACTAGACGTGTAGCGCACGCCATCAGTAGTGATTCGTAACCATTCAACAGTATTTGTTCAAGCTAACCTCAACAAAGTCAGCTTCCAGTTTCATGATGGAGAAGCATTCGGCTGAGTAATTTTCGTTCCTCATTTGCAGTAGCGGAATGAGACCTCATAACAACCTTGGTTGGGCTAAGCTATTTTTAAAGGCAATGGATCGGCAAAACTTAACAACGCGGGATTTTAACGCAGTAGGTTCCTTATCGCTCAAGTATGAAAACAGTGCAATCCCGGCTGCACAGCATGCCTTTCCTACCGAAAAAAACTGCTCTCAAACTTACACGCGCAAGCCAATCTTGCACGCGCCCGGACGAGTTGGCAATTTCCTTCCCACCATTAGAGGCTGCCCGCCGCAATGCTATAGACATTGGGTCCTACAGCAATTCAGCGTCATCAGCCTTGCTCCACTCGTTCAACTTCAAAAGGAAGGGCATTCAAAAACGCATGTTTTCGCCGTTTTTAAGCTCTCTAAAGTGATTTTCGGAATCAGCGTATTGAATAACCTCAGGTAAGCCAAAACTTGACTAGGTTGCGATTTGCCGAGCCACTGCCTTTAAAGGCAGCGTCCAGGCAGATCTGGATCGATGGGGCTTTTACGTGGAAAGTACTTTTGGGGCCCTAACTAAGGCACTGCCCAAGCGGCAGCTCATGTAGTGCTGTAATGGCTGAGATATTCCCCTCGAAACTGGACCCCGCGACCGTGATTCGCATGGATTCATGGTGCAAAGCGTGGATCCTGGCGCGAAACTGCCATGAATCCATGCGAATACGTTCGCGGGGGCCAGTTTCGAGGGGATTATCTCAGCCATTAAAGCACTACCTGAGTTGCCGCTTGGGCAGTGCCTTAGTTAGGGCCCCAAAAGTACTTTCCACGTAAAAGCCCAATAGGTCCAGATCTGCCTGGACGCTGCCTTTAACGAATGCACACCTAATAGCATGCACACTTTATGGTGACGTAGCTACAGGTAGCATGATATATGGTAAAAACAGTCAAGATGTTGCATCATTTCAATATCTGGTGTGAACGTAAATTATGAATATTTTAGATTTTTCCGTAGAGGATGAAGAACTCTTGGAAATGTCGAAAATACTAAGAGACGAGGATGTTAACAAAGCCAAGCCCGGTCAAATATTCATAAATTATCAAGGTCACGCGCAATCCGGGAAAGGAGTGGACAATGCAGCTAAACCGTAAGAGTAATTTTGAAAGATATTATGTAAAGCGGCAACACTTGTGAGATGTTTGATACATATGTGCTACATATCCAAAAGTTACTGCATGACGAAGGCGCAGAAGCAGTGTTAGTTGAGCGGGAGCGAACGCGACGCGCGCGTATCCTTTAACGTTGTAGATCCCGCGCCTCATGCACTCTGCGGCGAATAAAGTTGCGTTTGCGCTCAGAGAAATTGCGCCTTTGTCGTGCAGCAGCGAATATTCAACATAAGTAAAAAATGAAACCGGGACGGCACCGGGGTGGCAAATGTCAAGCTCATAATATTATTAGGAGGGGTATAACACACAAGAAAAGCAAAGGGTGTAACACACACTTTTTACGCAAGAGTACCTTTCAAACCTCCCAACCACATGTGAGCAAGTAATTACAACACTGAAATGCTCTTACATTTATTTATTTATTTATTTATTTAAATGCACTTAGAAGTGCGCCAAAAAAGAGCAGAAAACACAGCAGATACATGGTGATCAGATACATGATCTTGCCTAAACCTAAACTTGCACCAAGAAGTAATGAACAACACTTGAAAGTTTGGTGTATTCAGGAGTGGAAGAAACATCTTTGGAAAAAATGACTTGTTTGTAACTCACATCTTCATGGCTTTAAATTTGGATTGTATGCGCAACGGTTATGAACAAGTTTTGAAATTATACGAAAAACTTATTTGAACGGAGAGTGCCTTTTATCCAAACAGTCATAGAATTGTTAGCCTATTGCCAGCCGAGATGGCACAAGCCTATAGTTTACATGACTATTCCGTCATCTTTACGCAGATGTGTTCACCCATTGTCAAGTAGTAAAAATATGGTTCTATTTTTCTCTTCTCTTCGATAGAAACCGAGATGGCAATGATGGCTATCAAATCGCCGACTCGCGAAGGAGAAAGCGCGCTTTAATTGAACGACCTGCGCAGATGGGGCGATCAAGGAGGAAATCGTGAACTTCAATGGCAAATGCGCAACCGTTTTATTTAATGCCTCGTGCCGCGCTTTTAGTGAAGATTTATTGACTTTAAAACGATGAATGAGGTACTACTTGGTGCCATATATAGTATATACATGTGTTTGTGTACAAGCGAGTGAACACACGAACAGTTACAGACGCGGATCAGCAGCCGTATCGTTAGGCATTGGGAGAAGCCTTATAGAATAGCATTTTTTAGGTTCTTCACCCGGGTTTCCAGCAAACTCCTCAACAAGCCGTCGTATAAACATTTCATCAACATGATGAACAATTTCTACAAAAAGACTGGTGTTCCTGAACCGCGTGTTTCCAAACAAGAAGTGAGTGTAAACTTTCTACAATCAGAGTCATTCGTAGCATGGGGCGATTTCCAAATCTAACTTTGTGTTAATTACTGAGTACCTTCTGGACGTAACAAAGTCGAAAGTCCAAAGTTCTAAAAAATTAGCGCTTCAAGGAAATAACGAAAAAGCGTTGATTTCATTGTTGGAAGACAAAATTTTGAGTTGTGTTGTTGTATGTTAGCTGACCTCTACAAAGCAAATCTCCCGACGAGTGAAACACTGAGAAGATCGAAGTTATGTTGCAAGAATTAATTTAGAAGATGACGAGTAATCTAAAGTTTTCCGGGTTTAGTGTTCAGTTTTTAAGCAATACGATTAGAGTAAAGTGAATACTTTTTTGGTTGCATATGATTAAAAATTTCTTCTTTTTTCTATTTACCGCATCTGGCGCATGTATCATTCAAAATTTAAGGGTGACAGATTTCATAAACGATAGCGCATTTAAGCAGGCATGTGTCAATGAGATGCGCACCGTTAGCGGACTATAGCCGAATGGACGATCATCCACAAGTTTGGAACTCGTTCATGACCTTGTTCGTTAGTCCAATCAAAGCAGTATATAATCTTGTTTCAAACTAGGAAGAAGCTCCTACTCACAGAATCTCGGTTTACTTTCTTACTTTGTTTTGTTAGTTAGTGAGCTACTGATGTGCTGATTGTGGTCGTTATGCAAGTTCAAGATTCATCTCATAGATGACCAACTGCCCCATAGGTAAACAATTTTGGTGTGTGTAGTCAAACTAGAATATCTCAGGCACGATTGTATGAATGACCTCACAATTTTAGAAAAGTCAATTTCGCGTGAATTACAGATCAATCTGTACATATTGAGGGCGAGAGTTTTTGAAGGGAAGAGCATTGCTGCTGGTTGCTTGGTTGTTGTCGTTGGCTGCGTCCACGAGTTCCAGGAGTAAAAATCTATCCGGCTGGTCCAACCGTTTCACGAACAACCTCTCGTTGGACTTCCTCGAGAACGTTTTGCTTGAGGAATCCCCTTTAATATTCTTAGTGTCTATCTGTCGTCTGTTCTTCTCATAATGTGACCGGCCCACATATGCTTCGCCTTCGCAACATAGGCCAACATAGTCCAAGTCAGCAGCGTAACATGGCTTCCTTCAGAGGCCCGAAGGCGGCCCAGGCTGTTCTTCTTCTCCTGTTAAGTTCCTCCCTCAAGTCGTTCTTCATTTTCATCGAACGTCCGAGTTACACGTAGAGACGTCTCCATGATAGGGGTCCTTCCAATTCCACTTCTGCACCTTCGCAAAGGGCGTTTTTCATGAACTGTGTCTTCTTTCGATATTCGCAATCCGTTCCTTTCGAGTTCCTTGCATGATTGTGTTGCCCTGTCGAACCTCCTTCCCAACTGGGATGGTCAGGGACTATGGAATAGCTGCATCGTTGTTGTACAGTCCTTGTAGCAGTCGCCCAACGTGCTCAGTTAGCTGGGCCCACCCTTTGATCGATTAATGCTGACAGAATGGCATTGGTTTCGACGCTGTCAAAGGCATTCTCGATGAAGGTTAGGACGAAAGGCAGCAGATAATTTGGCAAGCTTCTATGATCCTCGAAACCGTCTGCATGCGTTCCATGCAGCTGGATTCTTTGCGAAATTCAGCTTGTTCTTAGGGGCTGGGCTTATCCAGTGTATGGCATGCGAGCGAGAACAATCTTCGTGAAAAGCTTGTACCGTATACTCAACAGGCATATTGGACGGTAGTTCCGAAGATTCTTCTCGTTCGCCATTTCCGAAGAGAAGAACGGTTCTTGAAGTTCTCCACTCGTCAATCATCCCTTTCTTTCTAAAGGTTGATGTTAGATGCGAAGCAAGAATCTTGTGTAAACCTTGTCCTCTGGCTCGCAGAAATTCGACGGAAAGATGACCTGGTTCTGAAGCCGTGGACTTCTTCATGTCCTGTATCGCAATACGCAGTTCAGCAGGTAGAATTCGTGGTTGTACTTCTCCATTGGGAACAAGGCCATCGCCATGGGTGTTGTTGAGCAAAAAAGGTTGATGTAGAAGTTCTTTGCAATAAATTTTATCTTTTATCAGGAGGAAGTCGGTCCCGCCTTCGTTTAATAGTGCAGCCATCGGTACGGTATTCACGGAGATCCCTTCAGCATTTTCTAAGACTTCGTCTTCCTTCGGCTGCTTCCAGTATCTTGGCTTGCCTGTACTTCCTAAGATCCTTCTGCAAAGCTGTTCTGCAACTGGCGTTGGCTACCAGGCGCTCGAATGGATTGCATTCGGATCTTGCCTCAAGCACCTTCTTGGGTAACTTTATAGAATCACACTTGACCTTAGAAGTGTGATTCCATAATTTTTGATTGCGGGAGTATGTCCGAATTTTTGCTAAAACAAGTGGCTTCTGATAGTTCACTAAGAACAGTCATCTCTAAACGAACTACGAGCCTTACACTCAAAAATGGTCCACATTTAGCTCAATTCTAAGGCGCAGCTTTCGCGATAACGTTCGCGCGGCAGGTGCGCCTTATACATGGGTGAGCCTTATACTCCGGAAATTAGGGTAATTTGTTTCTGGCTATGATTACGATTTCGAAATTTACTCTCACAATAAAAGAAAAGTAGTGCTAGTTGATTGTCTCTACAATAATGATGATTTTTATTTCACAAGTTGGCTCCTTCTCGAACAAACCTCTAGAGAGTATAATAAAATATTATCCTCAATTGAATGTAGTTTAACCTGAAATGGAATGGTTTTTAAAGCATTTTCCACAAAATTATTCTCATAGTTCGAACGAAATGATTTGTACCAATCTGCTACGGACAAACAACTAGTTGAAAAAAAAGCTTGCATACTAATTCAAAATGGATAATAATCCTGGAAGTTGATTTATAAGATTTTGCAACTTTCTGCATCAATCAGAAATGCAACGAAGGAAGAAGGATGAGCGAAACATTTTGGACCTTTCCACAACTGCAATGCATGCCTATGATAACTGACTAGGAGGTGAAGCGTCCAGCACACCGCGTAGGTACGGAGCATTTGAAAAATCGTGACGATGGCGCGACCGCGCGCAACACGCACGCACTCCCAATTCTTGGTTTCTATCTCTACTCAAATAGTTTTTCCGCTTACATATGATAGTATTCAGGTACTGGAAGTGACTAAGCTTAGCGTTGAGGTGTTGCCTGTTTGTATGGGTGTTTTATCCTTCTGTGTGCGGAAAGACCGCAGTAACTCGTCGTCACGATTTTCAAAATAAACCATACTCAGCGGCGCTGGTGCATCTATCTTCATAAAGTCACTTAGCCTGAAATCAACATCGCTTGAATTGCCTCTTCTGAAGACCGAAGCTGTGGTACTTTACCTTAATACGTTTTATTGATGATCGCTGCATCATATGTCCCACACATTACGAAGACATACCGTCGTTTCCCCAGGATAGATGGGGCGTGTCACTGCACAAATCTGTAAGTGTCCGTAATTGGTACGGTATTAGCTACGGCGCTCGATATCGCTATACAGCTGATCATTTTCCGACTCAACAATAATAGTGAGTTTTTTGCACAAATCGTGCTTTTCTTTTCAGGTTTCGACGGGAGTTGCCAGAAGTGAGTTGTAAATCTCAAATCACGTTTGTTTTATGTTAGTTTCTTACTTTTGAACCACTGCCGGTGCGAATTTTGCATTATAGCTGTACATTGCGTGCTATTATATCTTCTTTTTTACTTAACTGTCGTGTTTATTGGATTTGCTTTTACTGTTCCATTGAATGACTTAATTATGCTTACCGGTACTTCATGATTATGTTGCTTAGTTAGTTCAAAATTCGAAGATGAATCTCAATGTTGAAAATTACATTTTTCTTTCGAAAGTATAGGTGAAATAGTAAAAACAAATCCACTAAACACGACTATTAAGTAAAAATATAGCACGCAATGTACAGCTATAATGCAAAATTCGCACCGGCAGTGGTTCAAAAGTAAGAAACTAATATAAAACAAAAGTAATTTGAGATTTACAACTCACTTCTGGCAACTCCTGTCAAAATCTGAAAAGAAAAGCACGATTAATGCAAAACAAAACTCACCTATCATTATTGAGTCGGAAAATGATCAGCTGTATAGCGATATCGATTCTGCGCTGTAGCTAATACCGTACCAATTACGGACACTTACGGACTTGTGCAGTGACACGCCCCATCTATCCCGGGGAAACTACGATATCTATGCTTTGATATCTTTGATCATTGATACCTAAATGGAAATTCACAAGGGAACGTTTGGAAAATCTGTTAGCGTTTTCTTCACTAATCAGCATTTTACGAGCAGATGTTTACTAGAGGTGACAAAAGAGCGTTTTAGTGGAGGGATGTGAAGACGATGCCCGTAACAAACCCCTATTCAGTGCAACTCGGCTGGGGCGGGCCTACGTTGAAGGCAGGATGCCTCAGTCCAGCATCCAGTAAGCTGATGATTTGGATGCGGATCGCTTCCTAAACATGATAGTTATATGTGTTTTTAAAAGGGACCACTTGAGCCGGTTGGTCAAACAGGTGATCGACCGAATTGAACGCGCGCGGCCACGGTTCGACACCGGCTAGCGTTAATTTTGCTTTATATCGCGGACATCTTTGATAGCGACTACTATCGTAAAATCGATGATGACTATCAAGGATTTCGCCTAGCAAATGCATAAACAAAACGAAACCTTTTTTTGACGAACATTTTATGAAAAATGAAGTTGTTGCAATAGGAATTCAGTGAAAAAAAATCAATAAATCTTTCAATGAATTCTCGTTTTGACAGCTTCTCAAAAAAGTCAGCAAACTTTACAAGAAAGAAAAATCTTATTCTTGTTTTCCACACCAGAGTCAGAGTTCATCGATCCTCTCTCTTTCGGGTAACGGTCAATTTTAAGCTGATTTTCTACGCAGTATTATCAGGAAAACTGATGCGTGTCGTAAGTTACTTACAATCAGGAGCAAGTTATGGGAATGTTCTCTGCGTCTCTCTCCGTCTTCCTTTTTCTCTTTATTTTTCTGTTTGCATCAGTTCACGTCTCAACTGAACGTAGACTGGAAGTAGATCAGTCAAATGCGGCTGCGGACGGATGGCTAACTGTCAGTCCACTTTGCATGCTTATAGCATGGGAAGGTGGGTGGTCGTCGACCTGAACTGAAGCCATCAGTTGAGGTTCTGGGATGACGGGACCTAAACTGACGACTTCAGTTCAATTCAACCTAAACTGATCGAGCTTTGCTATGGGCCATGACATTCGAGGAAGTTCTGTTGGAGAGAGGGGGAGGAGTGGGGGGGGGGGGGAAGGAAGAAGGAAGGGAAGCACTTTGTTAGTTTGTTGGGCGCAAGCTAACCACACAGTGGAAGATTTACACGGCTAGAATGAGCTATACAGGTTTCTTATCTTTTCTCTGACAATTTAATCATTTATCTTGAGACATTTTTTCAGTTGCAATCAAAGCGATATGCTCTGTACTTCTACGCTATAATGATATCCAAACAAGCTACGTGTTACCTATGCCAGGCTCTGGCAAAAGACCTCCTGTCAGTGAATGCTGGCTATTCACTTCAAAAAATGTATGCTCGCTACAAAAAATACTAGTATAGTTCAAAGAGCACGCGATTGAACCGAGGAAATACTATCAGTGACACTTGGACTTCTCGCATGCTCGATTGTCCCAAGTGAGGCTGTGCTAACTAATCTTGCTGTAGCCGCAAGTTTTTCTTGATAGACGAAGGACGTTTGGCTATACTCACTCAACAACAGTACTTGCATTGCAAAATATCGGTGCATTGATATAGATCTTTACAGGAACAGCGAGAAATTTCCTTGTTTCTAGACACCATTTTGGCATCAAAGCCGTGGAAGATACTTTATAAATTCCTTCGGATGAAGCGTAAGTAGTTTTTGTGTGAGAAAATTTTTCTTCAATTTTACAAGTGCTCAAAGTACAGTACATGCAAGTCAATGTGATTCTATTGAAGTCAGTTAATCTCAACAACTTGATCTTCTGACTAAAGTTTATCAACTCGATTGTGGTATTAAAGACATTCATATAACCTCCTCACAGCTTTCCTTTCTACGCTTTATCTCTGAATCCGAATAAGAACGCGCGAGAGCAGGAGCTTTTGGATTTTATAGCAAACTGAAATTACCACTACTTGACAATAATGTGTGTGTTGCGTGTATTTTGAAAGAGTATTCACAGGTCATGGTCTTAGTCCATGATTTTACATACATGCGCTCTCAGCGTGTAATTCTTCATTTTCGGAATTAGTTGTCTTGAAGAATTGCAAGCAATTTTCCTACTACAGAAGTAAAGAAGCTTTCAAGAAGATGCGCCAAGAAGAATTAGTTGTATCAAAAAGTTTTGTGTGACCTAACAATAAGAGGTGGAGAGGACTCCCGTCAAAGACTGCGCAAAATTGCTCATATCATTGTAGGTTCAATGCACGCGAGCATGCCTGCAACGCGGCTGCAGAGTGCTATGATGACTCATGCGGGCGAATGCCAAGGTTAGCCCGCAAGAGACACGCCCACGGGCGTTCAGCCTGGGTTTTTCGTGCAGTCAACTGTATCGAGCGTTGTTTGTTATGCTCACGGAAGACACTGAGTTGTTAGCAACGCAATAAGTGGTTCGAATCTGCAATATTCTTTATGCTGAGAGATCTTCAGTGTCAGTTACCTTTCTTACATGCCCAAGCTGTTTTGCACTGAATAGCTGTTGACATTTCGCACTGAGGATATTCGTTGGGAAACGCAAAAAACTATAGCTGAGAGAGAACTTGATTGAAATTTGTTCTGTCTTCAAGGGTCCGAAATCATCCAGCAATCTATCTTATATGTAAAGCTGAATGTCTGTTTGTCTGTCTGTGTGTACGTATGTTACAAATAGAAAATTCCATTTCCGAACCGATCCGGACCAAACTTGGCGCACTACACATCCGGCCGGGCGGCTGTCTAGGCTACTTTTCGCTATCGATCAAAATCGATTTTATCGATTTTTTGCAAAGTTTGACCTACGGGGCTGGGAGTTGGCACATACCAGCTAATTTGTTCACAAACTGTATATGATTCAAATTTTAAGTGTGCAGGCAATGCTATCTTTGACTTTGCGCTTTCAGGTCATCCATTCGCAAGGGATCCTGTCACTTTCCGTAGCAGTATCAAACATTTATGGTTTGATCACTACTCACGCGCTAGGGGAAAGCCGGACACTTCCGGTTTTGAGCACGTTTTTATCGGAGAGGTTCTAAAGAGGAAGAGCTTTTGAATTGGTGCACCATATTTAGCCTTTAATACTAGGAAAATCATGGCATGGTTTCTGGACTTCATAACTGGGTTCGGTTTTATATGCTCGAGAAGAATGCGACTGAAAACTTCGATTATAAAGGATTTATTGTGAAAAGAAGAGTAAGCCGCCTCAGTTTGGCATCTTAAAACCATGTCTCTCGTATCTCAGGATGTAATGGCTGCATTGAGATTCATGTGGGATGAGGCTTTCAAGTGGACTGGATCAATATTGATTGGATCTTCGCCAGAATATGAAATGGCATTATACACTATGTGCTTCCTTTCCAGAAGAGGAAAGAATCCTTGCGAGGTAGGAATAGCTAATGCGGAGAATTTATAAAGGAACAAAAAAAGAGCAGAGTGTATACAGTTTCTCAAAATAAGAAGTTACTGAAGTGCGGTTCATAATCAAACGAAACCCCATATAAATTTTGGAACTTTCTGGAAGAAACTTAAAAACCGTTAATAATACGTGAAAGCATGGCCGCCAAGGAATGTTTTGCGCCAAACGTTACCTCATAATCATATGAACTCCTCAAACGGTACTTTACTCGAGACTGCAACTTTTCTAATTGAAAGTTTTGTAGGGTTACCTCAAAAGCCTGAGATGTCTGCTACACACTGAACCCAGTGCAGTTTAAAAAGAGGAGCGTACTCTTCTCAAATGGCTCAAAAGCCTTTGGAATCATTGCGCTCCAAAATATTTTGTTTTTCTGTAATCCAAAAACTCTAATCTGTGTCTATTAATGCTTAATGATGAACTAGCTGGCTTACCCGGCTCCGCCGTATCCGGACCAAACTTGGCACACATACACTTCGGGCCCCGGCGGGTGTCACAGTCCACTTTTCGTTATCGATCGATGTCGATTTTACCGATTTTTATCATTTTCTTTGCAGAGTTCACCTACAGGGCTAGGAGTTGGCACAGGGGGGAAGTGAGCATGGGGATTCCGAATACAATATTAGTTTTCAGAATTATCGATTGCTTTTATTGATTTTATCGATTTTTTGGCAGAGTTCACCTACAGGGCTAGGAGTTCGCACAGGGGGGTAATCGAGCATGGGGATTCCGAATACAATATTAGTTTTCAGGATCGTCCATTACTTTTATCGATTTTATCGATTTTTTGAAAATTTGAGCTAGGGGGCTGGAATTTGGCACAGGGGTGTTCGAGCATGCTGATCACCCCCCTTGGGGATGATCAGCATGCTCGATTACCCCCCTGTGCCAACTCCCAGCCCCCTAGCTCAAACTTTGCAAAAAAATCGATAAAACCGATAAAAGTAATCGATAATCCCGAAAACCAATATTGTATTCGGAATCCCCATGCTCGATTACCCCCCTGTGCGAACTCCCAGCCCCGTAGCTCAAACTTTGCAAAAAATCGATAAAATCGATAAAAGTAATCGATAATCCTGAAAACCAATATTGTATTCGGAATCCCCATGCTCGACTACCCCCCTGTGCCAACTCCCAGCCCCGTATATCAAACTTTGCAAAAAAATCGATAAAATCGATAAAAGTAATCGATAATCCTGAAAACCAATATTGTATTCGGAATCCACATGCTCGATTACCCCCCTGTGCCAACTCCCAGCCCCGTAGGTGAACTCAGCAAAAAAATCGATAAAAATCGATAAAATCGATATCGATCGATGACGAAAAGTAGCCTATGACACCCGCCGGGGCCCGTAGTGTATGTGTGCCAAGTTTGGTCCGGATCGGTTCAGAAATGGCATTTTCTATTCGGAACATACGTACACACATACATACAGACAGACAGACATACAGACAAACAGACATTCAGCTTTATATATAAGATTAAGCTTTTTTGATCGATATTTAGTTCAACGCTTGAAAAAAAACCTGCTTTAAATGAAAAACCTGTATTAACCTGTATGTATTTGTCGTATGTTCTGAACAAATTGCGACATCACTTTAGCTTAGCGCAACTTCGAGCCTCAACATTCAGCTTATGTCTTGCGGAAAGAAATGCGACGAGACAGGTGCATTGCTTGTATGTTGATGTACCCGTGCTGGAGTATTCAAATTTCTGGCAGGACTAATCTTAGAGGTTGGAGGGGCCAGGAACTTTGTGATCGCAATAGTAAAAACAAATCTTTCAGGATGATGCATGGCCGAAACAATCGCTCACCATTGCAGAGCTTTTATGGCCAAACACAAAATCTTACAAAACTGTAGATACTTTGTGCTTATTAATCATGGAATTATAGAAACTGAGTTTTGAGGCACAAAGTTTGAAATTTAGAGTAAGGTCGGAAGTTGGTCATCCAAGCGTTAAACAAAAATAGCTATCGAAAAAGCTAAGTCATCTCAAGGCATTTTTAGATGCTGGTTAGAGTGTTCTAACCACACAGACGTTTTTGAGGCGCAGTGACTCAGGAAGCGTTTTTGCCATCTGGAAAGAGTAAGCTCTTTTTTTGAACTGCACTGGGTTAGTGTGTAACAGATACCTCAGACTTTCTTGATTTAACTCTACAAAAATTTCGACTGAAAAGATCGCAGTTTTGAGTAAACAAAGGAAAATCGTTTAAGGTGTTCGATCTAGATTGTGAGCCGCTAAAAATTAACGTTCGGCACAGAAACATTTCTAAGATTGACATCGACGTTCATTGTGCCGTGTATACTGTTTTCGGCTATGTTGTTTCATGTTATAATGACCGCTTGCTAAATTTCTTTCAAAAAATTCCGATCCCACAATATGGATTTGCATGATCAACCGCGCTTTATATGCACTCTCATAATAATAAATGCTCTATTTTGCTCACAGGTTGAACTAGATGGGTGCCCACTGTCAATCAACAGTTATGCTATGATTCAGAACAGGAAGGTTTGATCGCCTACATCTATGTCCCTCATGTAGGCTGTATACCTATTTTCTTCCAGGTTTACATAGGCACTATCTATCCTACTGCTGGAAAAATGACGGACACTTGTGCGAATAAGAACAAGCTTTAAGCACATAAGGAAAGAAATCGCAATTATAAGTTATGACACGATACTGTCGTCAAAAGAGCTGGTTAATGAATTATGATTATGTGACGCTCAGCATAATGCCTTTCTAATCTCATCGTCATCGTCCATAGAATGTGGTCAACTTTTGATACAACTTTAGATTATGTTCAGTAGTGTAAACAGTGCTACAGTACTACAGAGGTTTACTATGGTCCTTAGTAAAACTGCCTCAGTCAATCTTAATTGAGAAAAGTCTCACAAGTGAAGTATTTTCGATGGCCGTGGCCGTTTGATATGGGATGCATATAATCTGAGACAATTTTAGACGCTGAATTCAAATCTGCATCCCATTTCTGCGGAAGCGCTTGAATATCCTTTTGAGTGCCCCTCAAGTTTGAGAGCGCTGCTATGTAGGCTAGTGGTGCAATGGCGTGGTGGTTAGCGTGCTTTCATCAGAGGCGAGGGGTTATGGCTTGAATCCGGTGAAGAGCGTACTTTTTTGTATTTTTAGTTTTGATTAGATACGCACTTGAGACCGTCTGCAGACCACTTGCAGCAATGTTTTTGGCATATTTGACCTAAAAAGGAAAATCTTCTGGCTCAGTTGAATGCAAAGTTTCGTCAGCGTATCCGAATCACTGACCCTTTGCCTCCATTATCAGTACACTAACCACTACACCACTGCACCGCTAGACTATGTAAGCGTCCTCAAACTTAAGAAGCAAAAACGAAAACGAGATTCGTGCTTCTACCGCTTCAGAAAGGATTCTGCAAAACAAGAAATGCAGATTTGAATCCAGCGTCTAAAACTGCAGTAGCCCATATCAATCTCATATGAATTGGCCACAGCCGTCAAAAGTACTTCCCTCTTCATTTGGACCTCGACAACTTAGCTCTGCCTTGGTTAAAGCATGTTTGATAATTCCAACCATCTATGATTATCTTTATGAGGTCGCATCCATTCAAGTATACAAATTTTGTCTTTCGTCAAATTTACATATTATATGCGAATCGTACTAGGGATTTGGGCGCGCTTGTTAGTTATTGTTAAGGATCGTCAGCCTGCACTGTTGCTTCTCACTCATTTTTCCTTCGACATGTTCGGTTGTAACCTGACATGTGTTGCAAGTTATTCAAGATTAACTCAAAGAAGGTTCCTTCGCGCTTTATCGTTCCACACTGTTTGCATCAGTTGATGTTTCAATTGAACCTGAACTTACAAGTGTGAGGCAGTCGTACTTGTCAGTCAGACACAACTTTCAGTTCACTTTGCATTCTTATAGCACGCGAAAGGATGGTTGCACTTATATACGGTTGTACGAAATTATCCGTGCTACAAAAATCGCTTGAGTTTTGTGATAGTACTAGGAGATTCAAGTCTTGCTATGTCTCACTTTCCGTGAAACTCGTAACAATAGGCAAGTGCATCTATCAACCAGCTCCTACTTTCAGTCTCTTTGAGAGCCAACGGAAGACACTTTTTGCACTCTTCGATCTTGAGATTATCTGTTGCACTCCCGATGTGTTCCACTTTGATTATGGAGTTTTTTACTTTTGATTCTATTAGGTTGAACCGAAAACTCTGTCGCACCATTTTCAAAAAATCATAACTTCTTTCCTTCACGACGATTTTGCGCAATCCAAATTTTTTCTGAAAGCGTAAAGCATGTGGTTTCCAAAAGCCCCTGGAGAATTTCCAATATGCTCAGGTTGCAGAGGTAAAAATAAAAGAACAAGATCATCGGAAAGTCGGAATTTTTGAGCAAAAATCCTAAAAATTTGGAAACTGTGCGATAAAATCCAAGACAGCCATCATCCTAAGTTTTCTTATATTTTATTACTAAATGAGTTAATTTTTTCTAAAGATATGATTTTTTTGAACAAAAAATGTCGAAAAATCGATTTCTTGAGAATTCTTTGGAAATTGATTTTTCGGCATTTTTTAAAAATAATTAAAACTTCTGAAAAAAGACCTCTATCAGCACAAGCTTGACTCAGTTGGTAATCAAGTATAAAAAATTAGGATAATGGCTTTTCTGGATTTTATCGCACAGTTTCTGAATTTTTGAAATTCTTGCTTAAAAATTCCGAATTTCGGATGATCTTGTTCTTTTATTTTTATCTCTGAAATCTGAGCATATTAGAAAGTTCCGTAGGGAATTTTTGGAAACTTTATGCTTTACGCTTTCAAAAAATTTGAATTGCGCAAAATCGTCATGACGGAAAGAAGTTATGATTTTTTGAAAATGGTGCGACAGAACTTTCGGTTCAACCTAATATAAACTTCATTCTCTATATGTAAAGCCGGCAATTATTTCTTCATATCCATTGTCTGGCAGTAGCATCCATTGCGCTCTACGTACATAGCAACAGCATACTCTCAGATTTCCTTATTTGATTTCACACCAATTTATCGATGGCATTGTTTCTCTTCCTATACCTTGTGGGATACTTTTAAAAACGGACAGCCCTTGCTCCTCGGCTTTGAAGTCTAAATGCCTTAGCGCTAATGCGCAAGCTTCACTTTTCTTGCGTTCCTCCCCTCCGCTCTGGGTGGCAAAGAACTTGCGCACTAGTAGCTTTCTTCACAACTAAACAAAGATAACGCATATTGAAACAGTAGCCCTGCTGGTGGAGTAATATACAGAAGCAGTCTTCTACTCTAGTTTTTGTGACTCAGGGATATAATTTGCGAAAGCAGAGCATCCATAGGTCAATCACATTATCAGAAGAACAGACGACAGGTGGACACTAAGAACATCAGCGTGGTTTCCTAGCAAATTAGCAGGCCATGTGAACACGGGCTATGTAGGTATCCAATAAGTAAATAATATACTTTAGGTCGAATCAAGTGATTTTTCGATTATTTGAATAAATCGTTCGAATGCGAATAATTCGAAAATTCGAACATTTGAAAATCTCAACTTTCGAATATTATTCTATAGTCGAATATTCGATGGCCATTAATTCGATCATTCGACTAGTGAACCAATTATCTAAAGGTGCTATTTGCAAGAGCGTGCGCTTCGGGACCGCTGCGCGGTTTCCCGCTATGTGCACATTTTTGAATTGCGCTTGTGATTCTTTATATATTATATATTATTCGATGTCCATTGAACATCTGAATATTCGATGGAACCAAATATTCGAGAATCCGATAAAAAGTGACTATTTGAAAATTCAAAAGATCGAATGTTCGGAAGTTTGAATTCACAACATAAACGGGATTTCCTAAGAGTATTTATGTACTGTGTGATCGCTAATACCTCTCACGAAGTCTTCTGCCAAACATTGGATAACATTCATAAAGATGGCTTCAGCTTACAAATGCAACTGAAAGGAAATCACACATGTCTGTGTAGCAGAGTTTTTACGTATGCTGATTTTACTCACACCACTTATCAAGCTTTTTAAATGTGCAATCACGTTTTTGAAAGCGTTAAAAGACTTTTTACGGTGTACCTGGTGTAGAAAAGCATTAGGATAAGTGCAGATTGTATACTGAGCTTTAGAAGTCCAATTTAATGTAAGAGGGAACGATGTCCCACGATGGCATATGTAGATGTTGACATATCTCTACAACCAGCATAGCTGAGAACGATCTGATAACGGTTGCCAACCGATATATAACAGATACATGAGACTGTAAGGGGGGGGGATCCCGAAACCTACGCTGCTATCGCATGCGTTTAGGTTGAGAAAAGCCCACTGAGGTTAGCGTGTTTGGTATGTGTCCAGGTAGAGAATGGCCTCATGTTTTGAGTTGTACTAGTGTGCGGGTTGATGGGCTTCGAGGAATGGAGCGGTAAGCTCAACTCCAAAACTCCCTTCATCAACGCTGCTTTTTTATGCTAATGACTGTAACATACAATGGGCCCAGCTCTTACTGGTAGCAGCAAGTGAAAAGTAAGTTGGATATAAGGTGAGTAAATTTGGTTAGTAAGTGTGTTTAGCTCTGCAGTGAACAGCGAACGATCTCGAGTAACTTTGCATGCTTGGATCTTCCAGTTTTGAATCTCGCTGATCGACATGTTTTGCCTTTCCTTTTTTTCTAACGTATTATCACTGCTAACGTACCCAAACTTTTTGTTGTTTCTTTACTTGTAAAATCGCATGCGTTTAGGTTGAGAAAAGCCTACTGAGGTTAACGTGTTTGGTATATGTCCAGGTAGAGAATGGCCTCATGTTTTGAGTTGTACTAGTGTCCGGGTTGATGGGCTTCGAGGAATGATTTTGTGTTGTCCAGGCCTGGGGATTTGGTGATGTTGTCCAGGTCGAGTGTGGCTCCCTGAGGATTCGTTTCGCGCGCTGTAGTAGAAGTCAGTGGGTGGTTCCCGATAAAAAGCGTTTTTGGGGCTCGAGCAAGATAAACTGTCATCTCGCTAGGTGTCTTTTTTCTTTTTTATGTTTTACGGGTTTCGTGCATTGTAACTATGCAATTACTGATTTCCAAGCTTCACTTCATAGTGAAGCGCATACCTGATGAACGATGCGTGGCGAACATAAACATCAAACGCCGCAACCTGGTGTTTGTGTTTGATATGCGATAGCATGAGGTCAAACCTAATGGAATTTGCAAGATAACAACAAAACTTACATTTTCTGATCAGATATTTTCCTTACTTATAAATACCGTAGCGCCAAGGAAGTGATATCCTTTACATCTTAGCCTTCTTCTTTCCTGTAAAAGTTGCTAACATGACACTTCCGATGGCTCATTCTCGGGTTCATGCAATTATTGTGCATTCGAACAACGCCAGGGTGTAGTTGCCCAAATCCAGACTTTTGATACTAACACCGTAGGATACTCAAAAATGACGATCCCAAATCCAGGTTTTGAAAAACTTGTAGGTTACATGCATGTGACCCTTGCCCAGGGTCGAGTAAGAGGTGTGGCACACAAGCGCCGAATACAACCCCCCTCCCCCACCTTATCTTCCATCTCAATATCTCTCCCCTTCACCAGCATTATCGCTTGCCATCCGTAGACATGACATGAAGGCTCTACCATGCATAATCAATCCATTTGTAAATACCATATCTTTGTCTCATGAGTGAA